AATAAGTTAAATTACAAATACTATTAGTAAACTTAATGTAAATGTTATTTCAAATTATTTATAACAAGAGGTAAAAAAGATTGTAAAAAATAATTGAAACCAACAAAACAAAAGCAAATCACAAAACTTGTCATTAATTACTAAAACCAGTAATTGAGTTAAGGCTGCCGTTTGCGTATCATTTGAGACTTGGATCTCCATATTTTGAGCGTTTTGTCATCACTGGCCGTAACCATCATTTCGGGGTCTTTTGGATTAAATGCCACCGAATTGACGATATCTCTGTGCGGGAGTCGCGCCAAACACAGGCCGTAATGTCTGTCCCAAATGTATCCGTGATTGTCTTCAGCACCGGAGGCCACGAACTGATCGCAAACATCCAGGAATATGAAAAAGCACTCGTCATTCGGCGTATAGGCCTTATGCGAGCGAAACATATTCCCCACTCTTTTAAATGTCTTCAAATCAATTACATGAATGTCTATTTGATTAGCGATAGGCGGCGGGTGTAAGGGGTTATCGATTGTGGCGTTTTCGGGCCACGACCTCGAGTTCACGTACAGATACCTGTGATCGGGACTCAAACCCATACCAATAATATGTCCCTTCAGGTCAATGGTGTGGTCGACGGTATCAAACATATGCGCGACGGCCTCCTCCTCGTGCTGTTGACACAAGTAATCCAAATATAAAATATATAATTCAATCATTAAAATCAATACCAACCCAATTGGGAGAGGCGGCCATCGCTTGACTTTCTTGTTCCTGTCGTCTCTCCTCAAGTCGTTTAGAAAGAGACGCCGTTTCGGAGACAAACTCTTCAAACATAATCGGTTTGATTCGTTTGATACCAATTTGATGGGGAGTATAGGTCTGCGAACCCGACGTGAATAACAATAGTTTATCCCTATTGCACAGCAAACGACTAGATCTACTGCTGGACTCCTCTTCGGTGCAAGAGTTTTGCGAATGCGATCCCACTTTCGGACTATTAGATGACTTATTATACGAGTGTTTTTTAGATGTTATCTTCGAGATTGGAAAGGCATCGGAGACCACGTCCTCATTGAGCTCATCGTCGCTTAACTTAAGCCAATCCTCATTCCAAGGGAGCGGCGGGTCATCGAAATCACTGTCACCCGAATCCGTGTCATTACTGACGGCTCGTCGCAACGTATCGCCAGTCCGTTGGCCGACGGAGTCTGTGGCGGACGAGCGCTGTTCGCACCGGTATTCAGAACTGTATCGAATGGGGCTCTCATTAGTGCACGAGATGTTAGAGTCGGCGCCATAAAAGTCGATCCGTTGACTATAATTAGGCGGTGTTTGTAATGATTTAAGCAATCGATTAGTGCCTAAACTGGAGAATGGGTTTCCTCTATGAGCGCTACTATAGGAGCTTTGATTACGACTTCTTGAGGCGGACGGCTTGTGATCGCTAGTGCTGGCGGTGGCGGTCAGGAGGGGGTCCTCTGGGGGTTCATCGGGGAGACAGTCGGCCACGAGAACAGTTCGGATGGAAGAGGCGTTTTTGTTGTAGAACTTAAACATACGTTTAATAATTGGTTTGCGTTCGGACTCCGACTCCTGCCACGCCTTATTGAGCCAAAGGGCAGAACACGAAACCAAATGGCCCAAGAAGTGCAACCGACTCGAGATGAGGTAATCGTTTGTATACCACGTGCCGAATATATCGTACGGTTTGTTCAACACTCGGCACTGAAGCTGGAAGTCGTCGCTCTCCAGATTGAAGACCGCGATCTCACCGCTGGCCGTATGGACGCCAAAGTGGACGCCCGACACCAACAACAAAGTGTCCGCTTCGTTGAACTGCGAGTATTGCGTGTAATTCCATGAGTACTGCTTCATGTCTGCCGAGTGCCGCACTCGAGTGGGCACACACTCTGTTGACCACAGCTTCACAAACCCATCCTTAGAGCACGAGCTGAAGAGTCGGCCGTTGTGTGCAAACGACACGTGCAGTACTTGATTGTCGTGTCCCTCCAGAGTCTCGCTTTCAAACTGTCATATTTTATAAACCATATAAACAGTGATTACTTGTGGTCAAGGAATGGGGAGGAAGTAGTGGACATGCCTTTGGTGTGTGATATATAAGTCGTTTGCATTCGTGTCGGTAACCGACGGAACCGATGGGCCGATCAACGGATCGGTCGATGGTATCGAAGCGCTTGTAAAACAGGTGTTTCCACAACAGATCATCGCATCCGACGCGTGACCACTGATGGCATACCAGACATACGTTCGCCATCTCATTGGTCGTCAGGTTCTTAAATATCTCGAGTAATAGCGGTTCCGGTAGTGATGACCACATCGTTGGTGACAATCAATTGGCGGCTAAAACTATATTCAATACAATATTGTTGTTATAATTAGCGCTCATTTTATAGTCAACTCACATCTGGTGTGCAGTAAATGGTCTCAAGTGTTGACA